TAGTAGGTCTTACTCTCATCCCCAAACAAGGATGTCTCCCAACACCCCATCCCAACCACCCCAGCGGAACCTTTTTATCCTCCGCCCTCTCTGGTAAATACCTACTCGGATCCCACTGCGTCGGATTCGGATAGATCTTCGGATCAAGATGCACATCCCCCAAATGATAAGTCACAATCGCACCTGGATCAATCACCTCTCCATCCCCGACCGGAATCGCTTTACTGGTAACATTCATCCTAAATGCCGTTCCTAAAGCTTGAATTCTGATGCTGTCTTTCAAGCATAGATCGATGAGGGGAAATTCACTCTCCCATGCTCCGAAGGGTACTTCGGCGAGTTGGTCGATGAGAGGTGCGGAAGGGTTGGTAGTGTATTTTGCTGCTACTGTCTTTACTTCTTCGAGGACTTTGGAGCGCCAGTGAGAGTCGTTTGCGAGGTAGGTTAATATCCAAGCTGCGTTGACACCGCTGTTCAACAACCCAGCGAAGAGCGCACCGATGATGAATTCGATGATGCGGGTGATGGAGTCGCCTTGATCGATTAGGTATTGGAGGGGATCATCTCCTTTGACGCCGGTCTTCTTGCGCTCTTTGACAATCTTGTTGACGATCATGTAGAGTTTGCTGGCTGCGTAGGTACGCTTGATCACTGCAGGCGAGGGGATCCAGGGGTACATGAGCGCAATGGGCGTTGCGGAACTGTCGATACTCTCGTAGTAGCGAATTGTTTTCGCGAGGAGCTCTTGGTCATCAGCAATGTCGTCACAGCCTACCATTCTCATTGTGAGTTGGTAGATAATCATGTAGATGCTTTCAAATGGATCCGTGATGCCACTTGGGTTTTGATCGAGTTCATCGATACGGAAGCGGGTATCTTTCAACAGCTTGGGAAGATCTGGCAAGTGTCAGTATGATGACACGAGCAAGAGGGGAAGAATATCTACTTCGACCGAAGTTCGCACTGGAGATCATGTGCGTTATGCGCTTGATGAAAAATCCTCCTGGTCCCGCGAAATTTTGATTAACCTCATTAGCTTCAGCAGGTATGGTCTTCACCGAATTTGGTGACTGTCCAAATAGAATAGCATACCTTTATCGCAGTCAGCTTTTATCCCCACCTAATACCAAACTTGGGCAACATACCCTTCAGCAAACCCTAAATCTCTACTCTGGAAAAAAGTCTGGCGAGCTTTCTCACCCGTCAACCCAATCACTGGATGCTTGCCCACAAAAAAGCTAAAGTTTCCAGACGGGGTCTGTGCTTTCGCATGCTGGAAGAAATCCCATCTCGCAGTGAAGAATCGCAGAGCTCCGAATATAGGGTAGCCTTCTTTCAGTTGTTTTGGAGCTTTAGAGCTGAATCGGTAGCTGGTTGAAGACCAGAAGGTGCACGTTCCGACGAGGAGGAGAATGATGATTGTTGAGACCGTTGAAGCTGACAGAGTGGGTAAATCCTGGAATATGGAAATCATCTTCGCGGTTTATCCAGGACGTACTTCATGAACTCATCGACGACGCTGAGAGAAGATGCAACCAAAATATCAAAATGACCAGCAGTGTAACGATATGTTACAAAGGAAGAACGTAACCACAAAATCGACAGATAGGAAAATGAGATGCGAGGAAGTGAGGGTTCGCGATCACAACTAAGCTGCTCACTATCTCCCTAGTCTTGTCAGCAATCAACTTGGTGTCAGCTCGTTTCAGTCGCTTATGGTGCGGGACCAGGAAACCCTATCAGGATCTACACTATTTGAGAGGACCTGGGTACGTGCACAAACCATTTCGGACACTGGATTCTATAATTGGTGCCCTCGGATAGTAGTGGTCCTGTCAAAGTAAAGCTTGAATTTCTCAATATATGTGGAGATGGACCATCATCATTGGTGATGACTTACGGATACGCGTACTCCCTACAGGCCCTATTAAATGTTAATGCCCCCCAGTGTTTAACTAGATATAGTAAAACATCGCGATCTCGAACAGGTGATTGGTCTAGCCACCCCTTGGAGACCCTCAGAATTAACATTTAAAAGGCCCCGTGGGTAGTACGGAAGAGAGAATTCGCTTGGCAGCAGCTCGCGTGGATCAATTAGGGTTGCGCCACTTCAACTTTAAAATGCCGTCGGGATTGGGGTCCAATCAGGAGCCTCACTTCGGCGGAAGTTCTTAGATCAGACGGGATCAGACGGGTGAAGAACGTTGTTCGTATCAGCCAACCAAAACGACTGGAGTTGATGTGACGTCGAGAAAATGTCCATCACGTAAGTCTCATGGGGAACCGGACCGAAAGTTCGGAAAAAAGTACATCCTAGAACTCACCGTATTTCTCAGCACCATGAAGCCCGATCGATCCACTTCAACACCTCCGTATTTTATCAGTAAGCACGGCCCGCAACACATACCCTTCGTCAAGAATGCTGGCTCTCATTCCTCAAGCCCGTCTCAAAGCAACTCTGCAGAAGAAATTCTTCTGCTTGACAAACCACCGATTCTCAGTCACCAGCGGCTCGTCGGGGTCAACCAACGCAAAATTAAAGTTCCTGATCAACTCAGGAACCACGAGTGAGATCTCCATGAGGCTAATGTTCTTCCCAAGGCAAGTCCGGGAGCCTAAGCCGAACTAGGAGTACATCAGCATTAATTCCGAAGACGAAGTTCCCACGTCCAACCTCAAGAGTGGAAAATGCTTACACTCATGAAATACCTCCCCATATAAGAGCTCTGCTCGGAATTCTCTAACCAGCGTTCTGGCCGAAAGGTGCCGGCATCGCTCCCGAACACGGATGTGTTGTTGTGTGCTACCCATGCATTGACGCCGACGATTGTGCCTCCGGGGAAGAATCGTCCTGCAATCGTTGCGCCTTGCTCTGGGACGACTCGAGCTAAAGGAAGACCCGTTGCTGGATGCATGCGAAGACCTTCTTTGATACATGCTTGGAGGTATGGAAGAGATTGTGTCTCAGCGAAGGTTGGCGGTGATGAGAGCTTGTTGGATGTGATAGCTTGGTCGATTTCCTCTGTGAGCTGGAGATTCTAGAATCAGCTTGACTTTCTCATCTCCATCTGCGAGGATGGAATCCTCAGACACACCTTGGACATGGCCACCGGTGTCTTGATCAAGTGATAAAATATCCCAGCCAAACTAATAGACGTCGTATCGGATCCAGCTCCAATATTCGCCATGCAGGTCCCGAACACCGCCGACATGGGGAATTCCTGAGGTCTCTCATTATGCATGCGTAGTGCCTTTGTCAAGAAGTCTTGCTCTGATCCTTCTTCCAGCTTGTTCAATTTGAGCTGATCCAATCGCTCCGTGATTTGCTTGGAAGTGAAATCTCGAAGTGCTGACGCTCCCGAGCTTCCTAGCTTTTGAAATATGTGGTACAGGAATGGATGAAACTCGGAGAAGATACCAACGTGAGTGAGGTATTGGAGATAGGCGTGTAGTGCGGCGAGGAGACCCCATTTATCTTTTCCTTCATCGAGAAATCCAAATCGTTTGTTCAGCTGCTTTTGGTCAGTGTGGTTGTGCAGATAGCATGAGTGCATCTTGCCGTTATAAGTCCAATAGTGTCGAAAGCAAAGCATTGGAACCAGTGTTGCAGGTCAATAGGTTGGTCGATTTGCGATCTTGCTGACTGCGAGAATTTTTCCACTAAAATGCTGCTGCACTCGTGTACTTGAGGCTCCATGAAGGTAAGATTGGTCATGGAATAAAGCGCGGCAACCTTTCTGCGATTCTGTGAGTGTGTCTTGGGGTCTCGGTCGGTGAAGAGGCCTTGGGTATGCGGATCGGGACCGCCACTGGCGAAGTACCAAGGTGCCTAGTGGAAGAAGATTAATTCAATATACGAAAGGAATTTGGAACTCAAGATAGAGTTTGTCACCTTGATGAATCCTACTCCATGGCTATATATAATTTTTACTGCCTCCGCATCGTCGATGGAGTATTCATTCGGCGCGATGCGGACGATTGGACCTGAACCATTTGTCAATCAATAGACGTCTTTGAAGGATTTGGGACAGAGAAGAGTACACAGACGTATCCGTACCATGTTTCTTGTGAAGTGCAATATTGGCCTGCTCGAAATCCCCATTCCAGACGCTCTTGAGATACCATAGGCGAGAGAACCTTGCTAGGAGAGGACCCTGTACAGATCTTAAGGGAGAAATAACCGCAGGAATGGCATAGTAGAAAACAAAGACCAGAAGGAGGAAGTAAGCCGCCGCGATCAGAGTTATAGAGCCGACGATGGAATCTCGAAGAGACATGGTGCAAAGACGAAGAAGTCTAGATGAAATAAGACTGGTAAATATCAGGAGTGAAGGTTTTTACATTGCTATCCAATGAAGAAGGGAGTTGAGATATAGCACGACCGAAGGCTTCGGGATAGTAAACCCGATCACTAGACCAGAGATGCTATGAAGAGTGAAGTACCGGGGGGAATTGGGAACTCGGGGTGGCAGAATGTGGGGTAACCCCGCAATGTGGGGCCCGGCTGTTACAAGTCTCTTCGACGTCTGCTTCTGAAGGGGTGAACTGGTTTGCTTTCGCAAAGAGGTCGTGTTTGCTTCCTTGGGGAACTTGAGTTTCAGTCGCGAAGAAGTAGAGAGGGCAAGGGCGGAGCAAATCTTACTGTTGATGCCTGAGGCAGTGAGGCTGCTAGGAGAATACAAACGGAAAACAAGGCGAGCATGAAACTCGTCGCAGCGCACGATCCTGTACAATTTACAATAAAAGCCTCAAAACTGATTTGTGTCATATCTCGCACAAAAAGGCCTCTAAACCGCCTTTGTCTTCATGAGTCCCATCTCCCTCATCTAGAGCGTCGAACTCATCCCTGGAACGCTAAAACGTCAGTCCCTTGGATGCGTCACTCACTGATTGGACGACATCGATCTCTGCCCCGCAAAAACTTTTTCAATCAATATAGATTTAAATAAGCAAATTTTGATCTACATCGTCTATTGGCTCACGAGTCAAAAGTATTTCAAGGCTCAATGGTCTAGTGGTATGATTGTCGCTTCGGGTTTAATCGCCCTCTCTTTGATGAGAGAAGTTTGTGACAGGTCCCGGGTTCAAATCCCGGTTGAGCCCGTGCATCATCTTTTGGTTCCTTTTAATATTTTGCCTTAAAAAAAAATTACTTGTGGATGTTTTACTTTCCCCCTCTTTTTTGCAGGATTAGATTTTTATTTCCTGTGTTGTGAGCGGTAAATTCTAGCCTGTACTTTTGGTGCGCTCGGTACTTATGAGTTAAGCGAGGTACCGGATGCCGGCTGGGTCATAGCCTTTGTTACTTCCTCTTTTGTCTCCATATGTGCCTTCCGTTCAAGCATTCATCCTGTACTTGCAATACAATGTCTTTGTTTTCCTGATACAAACTACTATTATTGCCCCGTTGTAGATTCCTTTTTCATACAATGGCCCGGTAAGTTTCCGCTCATGTTCCGCCCCGCTGCTAGTCCCGCACTTCCGCTGAATTCTTCACGATGTCCTCCGGGAACTCAAACATCACAACGACAAGTGCCTAGAATTCTTCCTCTAGCCCCCAGGGATATTGAATACAATCTGGCCCCAGATCTGTAGAATATTGAGATCGATGCTTTACAAAGACGAGGTGGTTACAAGTTTTCAGCTACTACAGCTATTGATATTATGTTTTTCTTCCAAAGTTACGAATTTCCCAATCTTCCCGATAAGAGGGTGATTTTATATGGAATTACATTGAAGAGGGTAGGGCCCACTAATAAAGATACTCCTTATAAGATTGCGAATTTCCATAAGTCCGTTACAAATTAAATCATCTCCTACCATCTCGCCAACACAAAATCCTTCATTTCAAAGCCTCCGTAACATTAGGCAACAGCCCCTCCACAAATCTCCAAATCAAACTCGAATCATGCGTATGCCAAGTCGCACTAACCCACCACGTCCTCCTCTTCCCCTGCAACCCATATAACCTCCCATAAAACCCATCCCTTATATCGTCCGCGTGCACTTGCAACATGAACGGTTTATGATTACTAGTAACCACAAACTCTGGATTCGAAGCCCCTTTCCCTGGAAACTGCACATTCTTTATTTGGGAGATGATTGAGGATTCGATTTCGGCATCCGTGGTATCGGGATTGGTGGCGAGGTAGAATGCTATTTGGAGGTTGGGGCTGCGGGTTTGTTCGATGGAGTAGAGAGAGGGGGGAGAGGGGACCGAGAATTCGAGGGAGGGGTCGAGGGCTTGGAGGGAGGTGTTGGAGGGTATGCCAGTGTTCTTTAGGATGCTAGTAAAGTACTGCGTGTATTTGAATTTGCTGAAAAGATGCTTCTCACTGTCTGCCAAGTCGAAGGGCGCGAGATTCGAGAGCGTGGGTTGAATCGCGACGATGAGCTGGGAAGATTTGATGAGCGTGAGCTTTGTGCCTTGTTTGATGACTATCAAGACACTGTCGTGGGACCGTTCGACGTTGAGAATTGTGCTATTGTAGAAGACATCTGGGCCTAGCACTGCCTGAGCGGAGAGGTAGAGCAGGCTGTTGTCATGTAGAGCTGTGGTCAGGAAGCCTGTTTGCAAGTCTGATATGTCGTCTAGTCCGAAAGATTTGAGAAAGTAGAGTGCAGGTGTTTTCCTCTGGTCGCCCACGCCTTGTGTAAATGTCCAAGCGAAGGGCATCAGCGCACTAAGATTATACTTCTTGGCGAAGTCGATGAATGTGAGTAGCAGATCTTCTGGTACTGGATCTGGGAGGTCGAAGCCATAATCCAGATAGGGATATTTCGCAACCTGCTGGGCGTATGCACCGAGAGCTCCTACAAAATCTCCTGCGGAAGGTGTGACGAGCTTACCGGTTAGAAAATCTGCAAACCTTGGGTCGTGGTTAGCATATTAGCAACGCGATAACCACACTTCAACTTACTCGTCTGTTACACCTGGCACGGCACTTAATGTCGTCGATGATACATTGAGTCGAGCAAAGTATTTTGTGACCACGTCGAAATGGTGAAATACCTCAACACCGTAGTCGATAGGAATTCCGGTAGCTGGGTCAATATATGTTTGAGTATGCCCTCCAAGTCGACCAAGCTGTTCAATCACAGCCACACTCTTTCCGGCATCTTGAAGCTGAATTGCAGAATACGTTCCAGAAGACCCACCCCCAATGATGCTCACATCCTTCGTGATGATCTGGTCGACATTGTATTTGTGGCCATTAACTTTACATGATGTTGGCGCTGCAGAAACGAAGAAGGCCGTTGCACTCAGCGCTATGAAAGGAAGCAGCAAGGCGAGCATATTTCGACTTTGAAGAAGCAATACAAGAGTAGGAGTAAGAGATATCTTAGAGAAAGTTGTGTCAGCGTTCGAGATGCCCGCCAACTAGGCAGCTCGCTCTTCTTAACGGAAGTGGAAACTAGGAGTCTGCAAGGGACGCTGCATGACTACATCATCCATTAATTCGAGGCTTATCAGAACGAATGCGGTCGACGCAACTCCTTGCGCGAAGGATAAGAGAAAAGCCCGAAAGGAGAAGACTATGAACGAGATGGGTTCCCCCATGTGCCACTCGAGTCTAAGTCCAATCACAATTCCCGTGCTTCAGACGTGGCCGGAACATTGTTCCTTTTGTTCGCTTAGGATGCCAGCTCGACACGTGGTTGATGCTCATGGAATTTCCCACGGGTTCAGCCCTGAGAACTGAGCCTGGATGCAGAAACACGTGGCCGACATGAAGCATCAGTGACGCAAGCGAGAGTACGAGGAAAACATGCACGACTCCCACAGGGAATTGGGCATTAAGTACGAGAGATTTGGGATGAGATAGAGGGACACTAGGTTATTTCCTCTCCCTCAGGCCCAAACATGGGAACTTCGACTATTATCACACGAGGTTCAAACATAACAAACACGTCCGGTGCAGTATATGCCCGGACGGGCCCACGATAATAACACGATACTTTATTACTTGGGTCGCTGCAAAGAAAAAGGTAGACGTGAGGATTATTGAGGGAAGGGACGATTTACCCCTCTTTTGGTTACCCTAGTATATCGGGAATAAATAACGCAAAACTATTATAGATAAGAAGAGGTATTTCTTCGCAGACCCAAATAGTATAAATGTCACTTGTTTCCATAAGCGCTTCTTTAGTGAGAAGCGGCTCGAGACCGCAAGCACAAGAAAACAAGTTATCTGGGACGGCCAGATCGCGCCACTAAACATACTGAATCGTGACTAAGTAAACAGCACGAGGGGAAACTGTCGAAGTAAGGACGTAGGCGCTAGTCGGCAAGAAGGGGAGCAAGGGAGCTGTAGGTTGAATATTTCCATTTCGTATCGGAAGCCTAGGGGTCAAACCCTAGGATAGTCCAATTGCCTAACGGCAGCCGTGGACTATAAACAAATCATCATCATCATCAGCCCTGAGAACTGCCAACACTTCATTAGACTGTGAACGCCACATCACTTGAGAATCTGAACCATCGCCTGTGATCGTAGAAGCAACTACGCATGCATCAGATTGAGCCGAAGGTGAGGATCTCCCCTCCGGACGTCCGTTCTAGCCACGAATAGGCTTAGAAGCAAGCTTTCGGAATTAAGCATCTCGACCCCAGGTCTCAACGCCTCTGGTTTTTGGGGGGGATCAGTATCATCAGACACTCCCCACTCTCCAGGACACGGGGATTTCCAGCGCTTCGGCGGACAGAACAGAGTTACCGAAGTTACTGAACCTCCAGACATCGTAAGAAGTATACCATTCGTATCTGGTGTGGCCAAGAGTCGAGCAAGGTCTGCCGAATTGCTCGAGAACCGTCGTAAGAAATAGTTGAATCGAAATACTCGTCGCCTGTGCTTGCGAATAGATTCGTGTTGCTCCCACCCAAGTATCTCGAAACCGCGGCAGCTATATTCTTCTCCTAGAGGGCTTTTACCTGTACCCATCCCTTCTCGTCGCATATTTGGTCCAGCCTCCATCGCGCTTAGCCCACACGGTAGAGGTTGCTCAATCCCTTTACCTCGAAGGTTCGCCGACTAAAGGTTCAAAATGATGGCCAATGTAGCATCGATTGCGAGCGCAGGCAAGACTCAATCGAATTCGTCTTCGTGAAGATCAAGGGATCAACGACGAGAACAGCAGGGGATTTCCGGACCCAATGCTCTTCATGAGTATCTTCTGAGGTTTATGCATGATTAAACTCTGAGTTTTGGACCCTTGCCGGTCTTCGTGCTTGTTGACGTTGGTGTATTCGCGATGAAGAAATGCTCACGAGTCGGCTCCGAAGTAAGTTGTGCTGCAGCGATTTCAGCCTTGTGCTCGGCTGAAACTCCCCACAATCATCGTCGCGGGTGGTAGCCTACATTCGGACAACACCACACAAAGGAATGCTGATACCCTCATCCCTTGCTTCTAGTCTTTCTCGGTCCTAGAGCCTATATCACACCATCGCGATGTTGAAGCGAAAGTTCTCCGCCATTGACGAGGAAGAGGACAGAGCCAGGATGGCTAGAGCTCAAGGTAAATTGATTGCGCCTCTAGACATTGGGATGGAGCAACAAGCATGCTGACTTCCTTACTTGCAGCAACTAGTTATGATGACGATGCCCCATTCTTCTCCAGCCAGATCAGTTATGGGACACTCCCAGCTCTCTTCAGCCCTGCTGAAGAAGACGGAGACGAAGCTGCAAATAGTGCCAGAGACTCCGAGTTCGAGGTAGAAGAGGAAGAATATGTTATTCCTTACACGATGCGCAAATACATTACGACGGAAGAATGTGCCGAATGGACTCAATTGATTCATATCCGAGCTATGCACAAAGGAAAGGAAATTGGCAGAGCGGATGGACGTTACATTGATCGAGACCAGATAAGGGAATACTTCTACGAAGCTATGGACGAGCCCTCTGGAGATACGTTGGAGCTAGCGACGGAGTTATTCGATTCTAGGGGCAGATTGAAGTCTGAGCTCAGAGCTGGAGAAGGGTCGGGCATCTGGGGAAATGAGATGAACACGGGAGGATTTCTGTTCCTGCAGACTATCGAGGTTGGAAAAGAGTGGCAGAAAAGGGGGATTGGAAGAGATCTTGTCGAGGCTTTCATGCAGA